TTATATTGAATTGTGGGTTTTAGAGGATGCTGCAACACATGAATGGTCTAATAAGAATTTCGTTTCGCCTAGATTAGCTAGCCGGGATACCTTGTTTCAAGTCTTTTGTGCCATTGATGATTCAGGCAAATTTGTTTTGGCACCAGAAGCTTTGGGTGCACCACCATTTTACGTTTTGTATTATGATCGTAAGAAAAATATGTTGGAAATATTCTAAAATCATTTGTACTTACTCTTCTACGGCATAAGAGAGTTCCAAGCAAGGTACCATAAGAGAGTCTCATCGGATGCAAAAGTTGTTGATCCATTGATCAAGCCTCTTCTACGGCATAAGCATGAAAATCATACAGCAGCCGTAGGCATTGAGTATTTTAAGATGTGATCTTAATTTTAGTGGGAGGTTTTACGTTCATGATATGATGTTCACATTGACATACATTTGGTTATGTATTCAAACTAATGAAATTGTTTCAGATTTATTTTATTATTAGATAATTAAAATAAATCTCCCAAAATAATTTACATCATTCTTATAGGTCATCAAGTACATGACTTGATCATGAAACCTTATAAGTGAAAGATGGTATAAATTATTGAGGTCCCTAGTCAAGGTTATTAACATGGGACATTAATAACCGAGAATGACTAATATGTGAGGTGATTGATGACTAAGTTTCATGGAGTCATTCAATATGTGGTATTAAAGTCAATCACATGGATATGTGTTAGAGAACACATGATCGGTCTGACCCCCTAATGGGAACTCTACAAGATTGTTATATGAGTGTCATGAAAGTTTCTCATTACGACTATAGAGTATAGTCCTTAGACCTGAGTTCATCATGATTTTTTTATTTATGAATTAATTCACTTTGACCTCGTCAAACGTCAGCCGTAACTGGTGATTATAAAGACATTGATCAGGTGTTCTAAGAAGTTGTAAAGAACAGGGATGGAACAAGATGGGATTTGTCCCTCCTATATAACGGGAGATAAATATCCCAGGGCCTATTGAAGATTTGATACTAAGAAATGCATGGCCATGCTCAAACAAGGTGAATGTCAGTCGTTTGTCTTATCAGTACAAGTCAGAGTTCGATAAACATGATCTAGCTTAATAAGGATGACACTAGTTCTTGCCTTATGCTGAGATCGAGATATAGAGACAAAAGGATTATAAGAATAGATGATTCTAGTACAAGTGGGAGATTACTGGGAATGTCCTAAAATTATTTGTACTTACTCTTGTTAAAGTCAAAACGTCGAGGTTTGACAATCATATAAAATTAGATGGTTATAATGTTTTGCTAGAAACCGCTTATAATCTATAGATTGAGAATTATTACTAATTTTATATGATCCTGTAGGGTCATACACCTAAGAAAATTGGATCAAAGATATATTGGATTCTAGAAATAATATATATATGATACATATATGATATATATTATAAGATATACATAAAGATGTATATACATGATAATGATAATAATTATCATTTGACCAAAGTGATTGTCACATGCATGCATGGGCCTGGCCCTTTAATGAACTAGGTTAATCACTTGCTCATTATATAAACATGTACGGTGAGGGTTTTGTGAAAATTACATCTCACGTAAACCCTAGAAGCAATAGAGACAAAGCGTTTGTCAAAGTTTTAAGATCTGATCTTGACGGCACTAGCATCTCGTTCCGATCCAGTTTGTGTGCGTGTGGATACCGGTAGAGGTACGACGCTTGGAGTGCTAATAACCTCGGTTTTTTTCATTCATCTTTCCGCTGCAAATAACATCCAGGTATATGCAAAACCCTAAGATTTAGATTTGTTTCAGTATTGGCATGAGATTCTAGGAAATTGAATTCATAAATAGATTTATAAAGTGTTATAAACCGGTATGAATTTCTACTCAGTAGCATTAGAAGAGTCGACATTGAAGGGATCACGGATAAGAAGCTTCAGTTTTGGGATGGTGTTTCGGATCATCGTACAATCTCTATCTTCCCTGGTCATGTTGAGAATCTCATGTTTCTCTAAGAGTTCTCCAGACAACCCTTTGCTTTATATTACTGTTTTCTTTTGCGATGTTACTCATCTTCTTTAGTGTGACATGGGTTTCATCTATTTGTTACAAACTTTATCGTGCGTATCAGAATCTAGTTCTTAGTTAAAATAGATGAAAGTAGAATATTTTCGCCATTCTCAAACGGTCAAATATATATAAGAAAACTCAGCATCCAGAACACAGACATAGATGGTAAACCTTAAAGCATAGTAGAAGTTAGTTGTAAAAACAAAGATTCCCCCAACATTATATGTTTTAGCTGAACAACAACTGGCATGAATTCGAAGCCCTTACCACACTTTCCAGCTCAAGCCTATCAACAGAAGTCAATGCCTTTTGAGGAGAAATTTGCTCTCTTTAAATGGTTTGCGTTCCTTAGAATGTATTTCAGCACTTCTTTATCGTCTTCTACTAGTGATTCGCAGTAGCACTTCCACACAAATGTCTTGAGATGAAACAACAAACATTTAGGAACATTCTTTGGTTGCTTCCATTTCCCACTAGCCATGGAAACGATACGCATATGCCATCTGCATTTTAGATACATTTGTGTGTTTTGGGGCTCCTGTAGAAAAAAAAATTAATGATACATTTCAGAAACTTAAAAAAAAAATCAGTTTAAATTAACAATATTTATGTAATTATTTAAAGTATTTATCATTAGTATTAAATTTCATTTGTTTAAAATATATAAAATTAAATCAGATAGAAAATTATTTATCTTTCTATACTATTTAGTTATTAAAAATAACTTAATTTTATTAAAAATATAATTTTGGACCCTTAATATAACTAGGTCCGGGTTGGTCGCACTTGCCACTCTACTATGGTCTTGTACAAGGGCGGAGGCAAACAATGAGGTGGGGGATCAGCTGACCCCGCTACTTTTATTTTTTTTTTTAGACAAAATTTGTATTGACCCCATTTTAAAAATAAATTTTACCCCACAAAAATAATTACAAAATATGAAAGGCAAAAATTAATTATACAAATAATATTTTTTTTTAAAAAAAACTTTGAATTTATATTATTTTTAATTTTATTTTTCTTTTCTATAGTTACCAAAAAAAATATAAGATGTTCTGTTTATTTTAAAATTTGGTAATATATTAGGTTAAGCCCAAATAGTTAAAAATATAGAAAAATTAAAAAGTAAACAAACTAAAAAAGAAAAAAAAAAACTGTCTCTCTTCTTCTCGCCAAGACAACGGCGGCTGCGTCTTCTTCTACAGGTTTGTTTTTAATATATTTTTTTGTTGTATTCTGTGTTTTGTTATATTATTAGTTTATGTTCATGATTTTGAATATTTTTAAAAGCTAGTTTTATATTTAGAAAATGACTAATTATCTTATTTAACAGATAAATGGAACGATTTCTAAATCTAAAGCGGAAATCTCCATCAACCGATGATATTTCTCTAGACGATATGCCACATGATCCAGGAGAAAGAAAAGGGATAGTATGACAATAATCAAATAGACGAAATGAGACGCAAGTACTTGACTAGAGGACCTTGTCAACCTCGTGGCCATAGTTTTAAGCAAAAAGTTATCTCAGGTGCATTGAGACGGTTTAATACTTCTTGGTTTGATCAGTATGGTTATTGGTTAGAATACAGTGTGAAGAAAGAAAAAGCATATTGTTTCTTTTTTTATTTGTTCAGCAACGAGAAAAAAAGTGGAAGTGTTTGATTTGTCGCGGAGGGATTTGATGGCTGGAACAAGTCTGACAGATTGGCTGGACATGTAGGTGCGATAAATAGCTTTCACAACATAGCCAAGAAGAAGTGTGAAGATTTGATGAGACAAGGCCAGTCAATCAAGCATGCCTTTCAAAAGCAAACCGATGCTGCAAAAAAAGAGTATTGTATTCGACCAATTGCTTCAATCGATGCTTCTAGATACTTACTGAAACAAGGATTACCGTTTCGTGCTCATGATGAGACTGCAGATTCTAGCAGCAAAGAAATTTTTTTGGAGTTAGTAAAATATACTGCTGCACAAAATGAAGCTGTAAGCAAAGTTGTGCTGAAGAATGCTCTTGGAAACAATCAAATGGTATCTCATCCTATTCAAAAAGATATTGTAAATTGCTTTTCAGAAGAAGTAAATAAATCCATTGTTCAAGAGATGGACGATGATGTTGATGTCTTGCATATTTCCAATGTCTTATCCATTCATCCATGTGCATTTTGATCATATAGACTAGGATTTAGTCATTTCTAGGTTGCATTTTGCATACATGAGTCTTTTTCAGGTAATGGAGTATCCTTGGAGTTCTTGGAGGTGATTGAGTGGATTTGAGATCCAAAAGGGGGTGAAAGATGAGCATGGATGGAGCCTTTAGAGAACTCTTCTGTTGCTAAGATTTTGTGTAAACACAGAAAATTGAGTTAACTTTCTAATGGAAGTGGTTTCAAGTCATTTGAAGATATAATGAAGGAGTTATGACCAATTTACTAGAGGCATATCCACCCTGTTCGAGTATCCTGGAGCGACCTGCCAGAGCGACCTACCAAGGTCACTCCCAGCCAGAGCGACCTGCCAGAGCGACCTGCCAAGGTCGCTCCCAGCCAGAGCGACCTCCCGGAGCGAGGCACCTAGGTCGCTCGCGTTTTTATCAATTTCGGAAGCCAAAACAGCCCCTGGAGCGACCTCTCGGAGCGACGTCCATAGGTCGCTCCCAGCCAGAGCGACCTCCTGGAGCGACGTTCGAGGTCGCTCCGGGTCATTTTTTTGGTCGAAAACTTGTGTTATTTCAGGGACCTTTTGGTCATTTGTTTTATGTTTTTACACTTCCTAAACCTAAGTTTAAGTACTCTGTAAGCCTCCATGGCAGATCTATCTTGATTTTG